GAAAAAGAGAGTGGACAGCCACTTATTTGAAATGCCATAAGGTCTCCTGCCTGAGCAAGGGGTTAGATGCTGTACATGGGGCTACCCTTGAAAAGCATTTGGAGACTACAGCTAGTGCAGAATGCAGCCGCGCGAGCGATATTGGGTGTACCGAGATACACCCATATCACACCTGTCCTCCGCGAGCTGCACTGGCTGCCAATTGGTCTCCGGACGCAATTCAAGGTCATTACCTTTAAAGCCCTACATGGCTCAGGACCAGCGTATTTGTGAGACCGCCTACTGCCACATACCTCCCAACGGCCTATAAGATCCCACAGGGTGGGCCTCCTTAGGACGCCGTCAGCCAGATAGTGTCGGCTGGCGGGGCCCCGGAGGAGAGCCTTCTCTGTGGCTGCTATCCCCAGAGGTCCGGACCTCACCCACCCTCATGGCCTTCAGAAAAGCTGTTAAAACCTGTCTGTTCTGGCAGGCCTGGGGCCGTTGACCTTATTATGTGAGGTCCAGCCCCGATCAGAACGTATGCGTGTTGGAAAATTTTTAAATTATTATTTTTTATTTTGCTTTTCTTTTCTTGTTCTTTGTAAGCCACCCGGAGTCCTCCGGGATTGGGCGGCCTATAAATCTAATAAATTGAATTGAATTGAATTGAATTTTTTGCCTTGATACTTTTTTGTTCAATGAACACACATATCATAAGGAGAAACTTTTATGTTAAAGAGAAACTTTTAAATCAAACTTTTGATTTAAACTTTTAAACATTTAGTATTTGTATTTGAATATTTTTGTAGGTATAATTTTATCTTGTTAGAAAAATTGTGCTAATATAGCTAAAAAATAATGGACAATTTGAACATATATTTATCATTTATTGTATGGTTTTCTAAAACTCCTTGTATTTAGTTTTCAGCCCAAAAATGCGGACCCAGCGCGCAACAAGTACGTGTGCAGTGTGGCCACAAGCGAACAGGCAGTAGTAACTGCCAGAACCCACCCCTGGTACAGAGTTGCCAGAATGCCTCCTCCTCTCTGCTCACTGCTTTCAATCACATTGTGGTAGACCCCATCTAAGGAGATAAACATGACCATGTAAAACCTGGTCCTCTCTGTCCTTGTGGACAGGTGTCAAAGCAATGTTTCACTGGTTCATATTCATCTGTGCACCCACTGTATGTTGAGAGCTGATCAGAAGGGACCAATAAAGTACAGGACTCCTCTCTCTCTCTTACACACAAACACACACACACACACACACGAAACATAAGGCCTTTAAAAACACAGTTTACAAGTGAACTAGTAAAATGATTATCTTTTTTTGTTTAAGTAGGTGAATTGACAAGAGTTCTGCCAGTTTCCTGTTTTCATCTAAGTCACAGGTAAATTGCTATTGTTGGCTTTTCACCTTTCTGTTCAAGTACAAAAGAGAGTCAATGGGGGATTTCTTAGTGGAAAGTTACATGCCTTCAAACACCCACAAAAATGGAAATGACTGCTATTTGTGCTCTAGAAACAAGGGAACTGAGAGCAGAGACAACTGTTGCTCAGTCATGATATCTGGCCAGAGCTGAAGAGTGGCCTGGAATCCAGATATTCCGTGCAGGAAGACTCAGTCAGCCCACAACCATAGAGCTTAGTCCCAGAGCGGCCACTGCCGGAAGACTTGGCAGCAGATCTCCGGAGTTTGGAAGCCGGTTATGCTTGGAGTGTGGCGCCAGTGGCGGCAGCGCAGCCCTGGTGGCACCCTGGCTCTGCAGGGAGAGGTTGGCAGGGCATGGTGAGGCTGGGAGGCACACGAGCTGGGGTGGAACACTCGTGCAACCTCCCTTTCCAGCTGGGCAGAGCACCACGCGGCTTAGCACCTTTGGGATATTGCTGGGTTGGTGAGTGGCGTTCTGCCCGGTTGGAAAGGGGGGTTGCCAGGCAGCTGCTCATGAGCGTGTTCACCTCATGGGTGCTGTGTTGCACTGCTGTGACAGCAGAACACAGCCATTTGCCCCTGAGGCTGTGCCAGGCTCTTCGGGCACCCACTTGCAAGAGAGCAGCCACCCAGTAACCTCAAACCAATAAACCCCCCCCAATAATAAGACCCAAGCAACATTTGGGGGGGGTCAAAGGAAAATAAGACCCTGTCTTATTTTTGAGGAAACATGGTATTTGAGTGGATTTATATTGGAAATTCAGTGAGGAAGGCATAGTCCCCAACTCTTACTCTAAGAGAGGGTTTTTCTTTGAAAAAAAGAAGAAAAAGTAAACCATTAGAATTTACAATATTAGAGAAAAATCCTAACCAAGCTTCTACAACAGTTGAACAGGAATTGGAAATAAGGGATTAAGTATGCCTAGAAGTAGAGTCCTTAATAGAGCACCTCCTGCTGAAAAATATGCTTCTTTTCTAGAAAATTCCAACAAAGGATTCTGTGCAGGTGCATTCATACACAGGAACCACAAAGAAGATAATTTTTTAAAATGCTCAGGTACCAATTGTTACAGTTATAAAATTTTGGGGAAACAATTCAAAGACAGAAGCTTTCCCCAAAAAGCTGATAATCTCAAATTTAATTTAGATGATGATAAGATTCATGTTCAGCTTCTTGGTGTCAACTGAGAAAGAGAAGTAGGTAGAGTGAATATGGATATCCACAAATTTTTTTCCTGGGAGTTGGATACATATCTAGTATTATACTGCATTGTTTTAATTTGTGGCTTAATGTCAATACAAAATGTGTTTTGTTTTCATTAAATGTGCTTTGTTATCTAATATCATGTTCCACAACAGTTCGATAGTACAGTGATTTTAAGAATCTATTTAAATTTTGGCAATACCATCTATATCGTAAGTTTAATTATATGTATTTATCTTTAAAGTAGGACTATGAGAAGCTGGCAGAGTCACATATACATTTATGTAGCTTACTTCTGTCCAATGTAAAAGTCAAATTATGCAAAAGCCTTTGGTTCAGGCTTGGAAGCTCTTCATTACACATATAGATATTTCAGAAATGTCTAGCTAATTGAAATCTCATATTTTATACAAATTTTAAAACAATAGCTACCAGTTCAGAATTAGTAAGGATCTTAATCAAACTTCCAAGCTATATTTATTGTATGTATGTATATTGTAGGCATTGTATGTAATGCATAACAATATTTCTAAATTCAAACCAAAGTAGACATCATAGCTGGAGATTCTCTAATTTAATTACTGCTAATCCATCTTGTATGTGTGAACTAAAGGCTCATGCATATTTTGACTTAATGAAGTATGAGATGTTAGTATACTTCTATTTAAGGTACACTACAACCCAGATTTCACAATCTTGCCTTAAATCCAAGGTAGGACAAGTTTTTAATTCTAATTTAAATATTGATGGTTCTATAATTACAATTGCTATTATACCACTGCAAGTAATACAAAATATGTTTTATATAATAAGGGCAAATATCCCTGAGAACAATACATCTCCATGTAACACCTACACAATGAACAACAGGTATGCTGACTCCCAGTGCTGGAACGGGGGTCATGAAAAGAGCACAAAAAACTGTGTGAGGTGAAAACAAATGAATGCCACATTATATGGAATTATGATTAAGAGCACATTTTCAAAGCCTAGGGAGAAGAATGATATGTATGTACATGGGAAATAATAACAAAGAAAATGATCCCAGAACTGACAAATGATCAAACACCTCAAAATTAATTTGATTAATAAATAAAAATGACAAATGATGAAGAAAATTGATAATTAGGTAACAAAAAGGATCCAGTTAGCAAGGGAATAGGAAAAAGCTGTATATGGTATGAGGTGTTAAAAGAAGCTATCCTCATGAGTATTTATAAAAGGCATAGCTTTCTGGAAAAATATTTTTAGAATTAGGTTGATATGGTATAAACCAAAACTGGTTTTGCAAAGAATACTGGATCTGTTGAATCTTCCATCAGATTCCTGAATACTCTACCACAACAGACCGTTCAGCACTGTTTGCCAACATTGTCAATCAGTTCAAAGAATTAACCTTATGTATGGTTGGCCGCTTGGTGGTCTGAAAAGCCCAAATCTGAGTTGTAGCAGAGTATACTGATGCTCTATCTTCTAGGATGAAAGTAGTACAGCTTCTATCCTATGCAGCATATAAACGGAAGGGAAAAGTCAGACAGCATATCCTTCACACACAGAAACTATTACAATTTAGAAGTGGATTCAGACAAAGGGAGCCCTACTTGAATGACCAAAAATATTTTTTTAAAAATGTTTTTTTTAATTTCAAATGTATTGCTCTCACTTTGTATTCATGCATAATCAACAAGGTGTTTACAGAGAAAATCTGTCAGTTTCTTTCTCTAAAACAGGTATTTCTGAAACAAATTCATTTTATCATCTTCTAGTTAAAGCTCACAGTAAAGTTGTCAGAAAAAAACAATTAGGAATGATAGAGTTGGATCCAGAATTACTACAAGTAGATTTCTGGTCAAAGAAAGGGTCTTACAAACACATTTTTATCAGTTCAGCCTTTTCTCTGTGCATTGTGAATGCTCTAAAAAATCTGCACTGAATATTTAGGGAACTCATTGAAAGAATAAGTCAGTGATATTGGAAGGTGGAAGAGTAATGGAAAATCTGCAAGTATTGATTGACTATGTCTTTTTTGTTCATGGCAGCCTCTTCTGGATCCAACTCTATATAAATAGTTCTCATTTATATTAATATCTCAAAGCCTCTAAAAAGTGTAATCAGCATTAAATATCCCTAAAAGTACATTTCTTACCTGCTTCACTTGAAGTCCGTGGCTCCATATTCTTTCCAAAAGATCACAGAGACTGGCTATCAATGTGTTTTCTTCCACCCCTGTAATGTTCACCTCACCATGACCAAGTTCTACTGCTTCTCGGCCCATTTTTTCCACAAGCATCCTTTTTGTCTTTTAAAATAGAAAGCACATGCAAAAGTTATGACTGCTTTTTGAAAAAGTCAGAATCATCTATTACCTCAAATGAGCTAAATAAGCAGCAATACAATTACTTGTTGAACTGATTACAGTATGAAATATACTATATTTCATAGATATAAAATCACCAAGGTTTTTTTTCCATTATCACACTCTGCCAGTACTGATTACTTATCTGCTGTAAACATTCATCTGCCAAAAGAAAAATTAAAATATTTGATTGACTCAGTATTTTTTCTGCTATGATTTATCATTTATATCTGCTTTCATTTGGTATGTGTGCTAACCCACAGCATCCGTTCTGAATTATTTGAATAACAAGCAAGAAAATTGCTAAGTATAATACATAGGGAGCTGAATCTCAAACAAGGAGGAAGTATATACTCTTCCTGTTGTATTTCAATATCTGCTAAAAGCCACTCTTGAGCACTAGGAAATCCATAGAATATCATGATTGGTATGTGTTTCCAAAAAGGGAAATCAAAGGGAAAAAGTTTTCATTTATATAAGAAACTTTCCTACATCCTGCTCAATACCGGTAGGTTAAAATGATGTGCTTACATATGTATGAGATATTGGAAGATTCTCCCTTTTTATCCATAAATGTTAAAAAGTATGATCATTTGTAAAGGAAAAGTAGAGGAATCTAAAACATTAGCACGCTATCTTCGAAATGCCTAAGCTATACAGTTCATCTGATGTACATGAATTCAGAAAAGAGAATTATATTACCTCTGAATTTCTGTAACATATCAAACCCTTAGATAGACAAACAATATATCAAACAATATGAACAATGTGTTTCATTTTTCTAATTTGAAATACCTACTTGTCCTAGAATTTTCCATTGGGCAAGCTAGTCTTTGTCTATTTGCATGGATCATTATCTCAAAAGTAACTCTAAATGGGACAATGCCTTCTTCACTTGATAAAAGCTGAATTATCCACTCTTCATTTAGAAAATCGGGTAGCCAGAGATACTCTTGGTGAAAGAGAGGAGCAGCCAACACACTAAGGATTTTTTTTTCCTAACAGTGAATTTTAACAGACTGCTAGAATAGAAATCTGAGGCTAAGGTCAGGTCGGGTTTGATGCCTGCTGTTCTACAGTTTAAAGGGGTTTTGTGGTTGCTGCTGTTGTTGTTCCTAGTTTTTCCATAGGAATCATTTATTACACTGATTATGGAGGGCTAGTCATGAACTGTCTGTGGAGGAGTTAACATGTGGAGATATACCTGAAACTGTTGTTACATCAAAATACCAAGAGAATAAAATTTCACTGCAGCAAAAATAGAAGAGCTGGATGCTTTCTGATACTTCACTTTTTAAGGTAATCCCGTTGCTAGCATTCTACAATGAAACATTTTTTCACTCAGAAATTGTTAAACAAATCTTCCTTTTTTTAGGATTCATGAATATGCTTTTCCAGTTTCATGTTTTATCAGAGAATGCCAATAAAAAGAGCCTAAGAAAAATCTGACCCTGCAGAATATTTTGCAGTTGCCCCAGGAAGCAGAAATGTTTGGTAACAGATTTAATCACTATACTATTCTTAACCTACCTATATTAGCCTATAAACAGACAAAATATGGAATAGTACAAATAGCACAACAATACTGCCTTGATGATGATGACTTAAATGAATGTACATTATGGGAATTCACATTTGAAACAAATGAAGCTTTTTGTCGAAATCCTGAGTGGACTGCAGATGTTCACATGGTACCTATGGAGATTCTCAATCATCCAGGTCAATGGTTATCCCAGATGTGTTTTTCAAAAGGCAACTGAACTTTTTCTTGAAAATCTTCAATTCTGACTGAATGATGGGGAATGGAAGGATTTATATTTTTTGTAGTCAACTGGTGTTAGCACTCTGAAGGTTAGCACGGATGACTACAAAGAATATAAATCCTTCCATTCCCACCATTCAGTCAAAGCTGAAGAAACTTTCTGGGTGAGAAGCAAAATGTTTTTTTTAAAAAAACAAAGGAAGTTCAGTTGCCTTTTGAAAAGCACCTTTGGGACATATTCACATGGTGAATTTTTGTTACTGGAGAAGATGAATGCAACAATTGTTTGCTAAAAAGCTTATAATTATTATTATAAAAGGTTGTTGGAATAAACCAAATTAAATATTCAAGATTATAGGGATATATGGAATAAGGAACTGTAATATATAATACACAATATTAATGGAACATATTTGGGGCAGTTATGTATTATAATTCTAGATTTAAAATCATGGTTAACAAAAATAGCAATCACTAAACCACTCCAAGTCTTTTTATGATCACTGCTTGATATAGAACAGAACATGTGACTTTAAATCATAAGATATAGCTATGTTTCATAATGCTTCTTTTGTTTAGGCAGAAGATATTTCACATTAATTTTATTCTGGAAGGCTCATTGTATTTTGTAGAGTCAGAAATGGGACAACAGAAATGGATAGTATATATATATATATATATATAGTGGTATCTGATTTTGGCATTGTCAGTAAAAACTGAACATTAAATTAGGTGGTCTTTTTCTGAAGTTGTTCCTATTCATCATATCACGTTAGTAGTATTATACTACTTGTGCATTTGAGTCTAAAAAATTGAAGTTAAAATATGGAGAAAACTGTATGTTATTAGAATAATTCCATGATTAGAATAATCACATTAGCAGAATGTCCTAATCCACAGACTCATTTCCATCCCAATCAAGGGGACATTTTGTATTCATTTAAATGATCAGTTCTACCTCATTGGTGTGAAGATGTTACATCAAAGGATATCAGTATTATGAGAAATAATCTACTATAATGATCCAGCTAATTTGACTGCTCTGAATAGCAGAAACTAGAACAATATTGTCAAGAAAGATATCATACCTTATTTCGGCATTCTTTCAGCAATCCTTCAACAAATTTCCAATTGGTCTGGGCAATTACTGATGGTGACAGATTAGACAATTTGGGCTGGCGGATAGTGCTGCCCAAATTTCGAGCTTCTTGGATGTATTTCTGTAGAAAGAAAAGAGCACAAAAGAGATATAAAGATATAATTCTTAATTTAACAAGAAAGCAAAATATATCTCATAAAACAAGACTACATTTTATGATGGATTGCAAATAATATTTTTAATTAATGTTCCCACTCAGTTTTAAATAGCCTGACTGTAATTATGGTACATTTCACTGCAAAAGTAATACTTTCTCACTGTTACAGAATTATGTTTTCTTATGTTTTTGAAATAGCACAGTAAGGTGTTACACACCTGTAACTGAGGTTCTTCCAGTGGCCTTCTGTGCAATGTGTCATTGAGAGCTGAGCTGTTTTTAGAGGAAGGATATTCTACCCCTATATGTATGAAAATGCTAAGAAGGTACCTCATGCCTTTCATTAGCTGATGTAGACCCTTAAGGGAATGATTGCCTGTGAGAGGATAGAGGGTGGGTTGTGTGAATGTGCAGATAATGTGTCAACAAAGTACAATTGCAGTAAGCAACATGTTCTTCTATGCAATGATTCTGTGCATCACACAAATGGGTGACTAATAAGTTACACTTATAGAGGGCAAGTAAGTAAAAAATAGAAACTAAAAGACAGTTTTCTACTTCCAAAGGCTTCACTAATTCTTACCCTGATTTCCAGCTTATTGTTGAAAAATATTGTGATCATGTTGCAGTTTAGTAAATATTTGGTAAGAGAAATGTCTAAGCCACAAAGCTGTAAAATAGTAAGACCTAGCTCTTTTTGATGAGGGTAGACTTGTCAGCTAGCATTCTAGATGGGTAGTAGCTGCCACCCAAAGAACAAGCTATTGAAATGAAATTCTCTGCTCTTGCTTGAGGGAAAAATCACAAAGGGCAAGTCAAAAAATGCTGCAGAAACCAAGAGGCACTATTACAGGAGATATCTGTATATGGGGTCAAAGAGGCTGCGCAGCTTGGCCAGGGCTCCAAAGTAGATGGAGTCAGGCAAGATATGGTAGGAGAGATAGAGTAGAGATCACTGAATGAGCCATTAGAAGGAAGGAGAGTCCTGCAGTCTGGTGCTGGTCCCTATTTGTAGCCCAGCTGCCTCATTCCTAGAGCCTTAAGGATAGATTGCTGTTGATTTTGGCCTCAATTTAACTCAAAATCAGTTGTTAGTGAATTCTAGGTTTACCTGTAATTTATCTACATTTATCCACAAAGTAGTAGTGGATAGACTGAGCTAGCATATATTACTAAAAGATTGTTAGGTGAAGGTTGAAATTTAACACTCTCAGAGATCTGTCATGCTAGGTTTTGGGTAGCATAACAGTTGTGAAGCCAACTTAGTGTTGGGCAATGAATGATAGATTTACAGTTATCAGAATTGCTACTTTTCTGATGATAATGTGTAAGCTGGTATAAGTTGAAAGATTCTACTTGTGTATTGTTCTTCATGCTGATGGGCTTCCTGATTTTTGATGTAATTCTCCTACTATTGCGCTTGAAGATATAAATCTCTATGCTCTGAGATGAGGTTCTAGGAAGGCCTGGAATCCATGGCTTCCATGGTAACCTCATGCTCGCCCCACCATTGCTGGTCTGACACCAATAGTTAGTTCAACTTGGATTTTGGTTTAACCTCAGAATAATTTGATATGTGATCTGAATATGAGGATGTTGCTGGTGAGTCCTTTGCTATGGTCAGATCATTTCCTGGTGTGAATGCCACCTAGGATATTCATAAAGTGGTAGGGCTGATTAAGATTTAGTTAAGATGCTGTATACCAGCCAACAAGCCCAGCATCTTAACCTTTGTACCTTTAAGGTGCTTTATTAATACAGGTTGTCCCTAACTTAAAACCACAATTGAGCCCAACATTTTCATTGTTACGTAAAACAATTGTTAAGTGAGCTTTGTCCCATTTTATGAACTTTCTTGCCACAGTTGTTAAGTGAATCACTATAGAGGTTAAGTTAATAACATGGTTGTTAAGTAAATCTGGCTTCCTCATTGATTTTGTTTGTCAGAAGGTTGCAAAAGGTGTTCACAGAATTGTCATAGGGGCACTGTGATGCATGTGCACATGTTACAAATATGGCAAAAGGTCTTAAGTCTCACCTCTTTCGGCTGCATGAATTGCATTCAAAGGGGTGACTGGACTGATGCTGTTTAATGTGGTATTGGATTTATTTCAGCTTGTGCTCTGGTGAAGTGAGCACAGTACTTTCTAGCATGAACATTGCCCCTTGCGAAATGCTTCTCTTTTGTGACTTGAGGAAGAGATCTGAGTAGCTTGATTGGGTAAGTGGTCAGCTTTTCATAAAAGAGAATTATGCTTCATAAATTGAAGATGGCAGTGGTGCAGCACCTTCATAAGGAGTTGTTGAGAAGGTGGTGGAGCTTCAGTTACACAGAGCCATAGAGGGAGGATATTTTTTTGTTTCTTGTTTTTTATATATGGCTTTATCTGTTTGTAGCATGCTGCCCAAGTCAGCTTTCAGCTATATAAATTTGATTAATACATAAATTTAACCCTCTTCAGTCAAAGTTCAGAGATGGAAATAACTTTGGTAATTCTGGAAGATAAAATTCATCAAAACTTGGAGAGAGGTACTGTGATCCTCTAATCCTTTTGGACCTCTTGAGGATCTTCAGCATCTTCATTTCCTTCTGTAATGCTTGTGAGTGCTGGGAATTCGGAACATGCTTTTATGATGTTTTCAGAGTGCTGATAAAAAAATATTTGTGGGGGCTCTCCTGCAATATGTCAAAAGGCTTAATCATCTCTACTATTTAAAATGTATATCAATTTAATATGTATATGTATATCAGTTTTGGATTAGATACTGTCAATATGCAAATGTTATCCAGTAGTGTGTCTCCACTTGACACTAATTGGAGGTGTCACAGAAGTCCTGAGACTGTAAGTGCTGAAATGGATTGGAAAAGGCTGAGATGGTACCCTACGAAATATGAGTTGCTCTGTCCAGAAATTATCTGTCTTGTGAGCTTCTAATTTTGACCTTGGTGAGGGGGCATTCCCCTTGATGGAACAGTTGTTCCTGACTCACTGGAAGTTCTGACTCACTACAGGATGGGAAATTTGAACCATGAGTAGGGAAGCTTTTCTCCAACATCACCGTCATCCGCTGAACCAATTGAGGCCCTACCTATAGTGAGAGGCTCTGGCAACAGTGATTCATAATTGTATCACTATTTGAAGGGACCACAACAATGCACTTCAGGCTCCATCCATGTAGGGCTTTAAAGGTGGCAAGAAGGTGACAATTGTACCTGGAAGGTAACTAGCAATCAATGTAACTCCAGTAGCATTAATGTTACAAGGATGAATTAGCATATCTACCTATAACTACCCGAGCTACTGCATGTTGTACCAACTGAAGTTTCTATAGTATCTTCCATAGTAGTATGATTAATGTAATCCACGGTGTCTTCTAGCAAAATGCATTGTCAAAGGAAACTGTCTTAAATCAGGAGATAGGGCATACACACAAGCAGAGGTGTAGGATATCCTATCACCAAAAAGAGCTCAGCCAGAATGTCCTAAATAATACACTGCACAGTACTCATTTGTGAGATAGACAGATAACATGACCAAAATTATGCTAAATTTATGCTATATACATAATGTATTTGGATTAAAGAAAGAATTTTTTTTCAAACCAGTTTCTATAAATATTGGAATTCTTATGAAACAGTGTTTGTGTGAATGTAATTTTGTCTAGTACATATATATATTCAGTATTTTGCTATATGGATTCAGACATAAACAAACCAGAATAAATAGTGACACAGATTTAATAGAGTACCTAAAACCAATTTTGCAGGTTTATGTTTAAATAGAATAGCAGCTGACATTTTCAAAAGAAAATCTAGCTGCTGATGAGATAAAAAAGATAGCAAAATAACACACTACTATATAAATCAAAAATCAAATAACGGATATTAAGTAGAAGCATGATGGATCAGAATAAAATTTTAAATATTCGTATGCAAGAACAGGATAGAGGTGATTTACGATACTTCATGTCTTTGTAGTAAAAAAGAATGATGCAATATAATTTACAATTAACAGAAGTTTAACAAGATAAAGGAATATAATTGTTACATGAATGTATAGCACAGTTAAAAAATTGAAACTCAGAAATGTAAATCACAGTTTTATGAATAATTATACTCCAGAAATTATTATTTTCCTTTAAAACTATTATCAATTATATCACATTGATTTTTTTTCTTTTTCTTTTGCTCAGTACCTTTAGAGTACAGTGAAACCTTGATTTAATAGACCAGGTAGGGGATTGGATATCCATTATTCTCAGTTGTCTGCTAAATTATAACATGTGATCACAACAATTTATATCATCTGCAAGTGTAATGATGTCATGATACAAATTAACCATTACAATCTAAGACTAATAAAAGTTATGTAGTTATATCATTTGTATGATGGTGTCATTTTACAAATGATTTAAATTGACATGATTGAGCAATTGTTAAAAATGTTTGTGAAATTTGATGTATTGCCTACAAAGTTTATTGTATCATCTTTTGGTAAATTGAGTTTCAATGTAATTTCATGATAGATAATAATTGTTTAATGGAAAGTAGCCACATGACTGATTTTTGACAACTAATATAGGCAATTTTTAGCACAAACATTTAGGTAAAAGAATATCCCATCTCATAATTCAGTTAGGTATCGTGGCGGGTTTGACGCCTAGTAACAGTATGGACAAAAGACCTCCTTCTTGATTTATTTCTGATAATAATCTATAGTTCTCCAAAGAATTCCAATTATTTCTTTGATATATTCATTCACCTTATTCATTCTGTTATTCTTTTCTACTTAACCTTACCAAGCACAATATTTTTTCTAGTCCATCATCCTGCTGGTAAAAAAAAAAGTCCAAAATATGTAAGTATATGGTTAATGATCATTGCTTCAGAGAGCATTCAGAATGAACATAGCCTCCAGTTTGTTAGTAACCACCTGTAGATTACTGATTGTATTAATCTACATTGCATAAGTAGAAATAAGGATCATAAACTTATTTCTCTAGTTCCCTTTCCTTCTGAACCACTCTGTTTCTTCAGTCTGTTTTTCCTGTAACTTCTTGTATATAGTATAAACCACATTCTGATATGATTTATACAATCAAGGGCTGGCTGAACATAGCAAAGCAAAGGGAAACCTCTTTACATTCTCTTGCTCTCTTCATATCTATCTTATATGATTTATCCCACCCTGCCCCCCCTCCCAGGAGTCCCCATGCGGCCCGTTTGAGATGCCGGGTAAGTACAGGGCCCAAACGGAGGCTCAGTGAGAGGAAAAAACAGGCCTCCGGAGCCCAGTGGAGACAATTTTTGCCCTCCCAGAGGCTCAAGAAAAGCCTCTGGAGCCCGGAGAGGGTGAAAACACCCCTCTACCATTGTGCAGGAGGCAGACTAGGCTATGCCCACCATGGCCACGTCCATCCAGGAACCGGGCAGAGAACCCGTTGCTAAAAAATTTAAAGCCCACCCCTGAAGGAATCAAAGCCATATATCAATCATTCTCCTGACTAAATAAACATAGCTTTAAAGCTTTGGAATGTATTTTCCTTTTTTTTTTTTTTTGGGTAGAACAAAATCAGGAAAATTACATTACTATTTATAGAAAATGTTGATTCTATAGCTGGATAATGTAACAGAACAGTATTTTACCTCTCTCTGATCGTTGTCAAGACGCAGGTGTTCTGTGTGCTGTTTCTGTCTGTCTTTCCTCCTCCACTGTGCAGGTGCATTGCGTTTGGTCCATCTAGAAAATCAAAAGTGGTATTCTTTAGGTACATTAGATACAAATATATTCATCCCTATCTGGAAGTGCTAATAATAATAATACAGTTTAATTGCCAACATGTCGTCAGCACCAAGTATGCTAATAAGAGTGAAAACTATGATGTGGAACTACAGGAGTCAAACACAGGAGAAAATAATTAAGGTATCTTTTTTTTTGTTCATCCATATAAAACTGAACTATGTTTGACTGTGAGATGCTTGCTGTTGTTTTAACTTTTAAAGGGAATGAGACTTGCTTGTTTGCTTTGTTTGCTTTTCCCCCAGTGAAAACCTAAACTTTTTAAAAATCTACTTTAATTACAATTCCTAAATGTTTACATTTTAATTAATAAACATTTCATTTTCTAGACAATGTCTGCATTTGCATAACACACTGAACTGGGTCAAATGAGTTGTGATGGTATGTTGTGACAGCAGGGCAACAGAATAGGAGAGTTGATTTTATTCCAAAACTGACTTAGGGTGAAACTTTCCCTCATCAGCTGTATCAAAGCCGGTTGACAGAGAACAAACTCTTTTTACCCAGCTGTGAAACAGCAACTAAAATTCTATACAGACTCCAAAAGAACAGTACTCTCTCTTTCCCTCTGTTCTTTATTTTTTGCACCTTGTGAAAATATTAAAGGAGGAAGTCTGAGAAGAGAAAAACATAGAAGGAAATCAGCATTCCCCAGGCACTTTTGCAGTGACCACAGAGTTTCATAATTGGCCGCTCCTCCTTTTCACCTGGATACAAATGATCATATGCTATTGATTGTCAGGTCGTAGAATCAAAAAAGACACATGGAAACTCAGGAGTTTCCTTTATTGTGGAGCTAGTTCTGGGAAGTTTCTTTTATTGTTTCTCACTTATAGATTTGCCAAACTAAAGCTAAACTAAAACTATTTGCAACACTATAGATGTATTCTGGGAATCATTAGTCTTTCTCCTGACCAAATTTTTCATGCTTTACTGCCTCTTTGCCCTCTGGAATGTAGACCATCCCTCCTGGGAATCCAGACTACATCCCACCCAATGGTGGGATTCAATTTTTTTTACTACCGGTTCTGTGGGTGTGGCTTGGTGGGCGTGGCAGGGGAAGGATATTGTAACATCCCCATTCTCTCCCCACCATACCAACTTGCTTTCCAGCTCTGTTCTCCTATGCAGGGCAACAAAAGAAGACCCAGACTCCTTTCTAGACTCCTTTCAGTCTGGTTTCAGGCCTGGATACTGCACCGAAATCGCCTTGGTCGCGTTGACTGATGATCTCTGGTGGGCCAGGGATAGAGGACATTCCTCTATCCTGGTGCTCCTTGACCTCTCAGCGGCCTTCGATACCATCGACCATGGTATCCTTCTGCGACGGCTGGAAGAGGTGGGAGTGGGAGGCACCGTTCTACGGTGGTTCTCCTCTTACCACTCCAACAGGTCACAGTCAGTGTTGGTTGGGGGGCAGAGGTCGACCCCTAGGCCCCTTAATTATGGGCTGCCACAGGGGTCGGTCTTGTCCCCCCTTTTATTTAATATCTACATGAAGCCACTGGGTGAGATCATTCGTCGGCACGGGATTAAATACAACCAGTACACGG